AAGTGAATTAAAAGTTGAATATGTTTCGTTCAAAGGTTTGACTTTTGATAGCGTTTCTTATGATTCCATTGAATCACTATTACATCACGACTTATTCATGATGTAGTGTACATTTATTCATGTACTAATCATTACTTCAAATCGTTATCACTTAATCACTATTCATGGAAATGTACCGAAAGTTGATGCATAGTGAACGAATGCAAAATCAAACGAAAAATTGACCCGATAGGGTGTGATCGGTTCACAGACTGAATTTCCGAATATGAAACAAAACGCATCGTCCCAATCGAAACGCCTTACTGATTCATCCATGTTCGTCTTTTCAGTTCAGTATTTTAGCCAGCAATTGTGTTCAGCAATCATTAAATTGGACTCGTTCGAATAAGCAGCCCAGTCAATCTATAAAACCAAAACATATCAGTTATCGACTTCAATCCAGCAAAGAATGATTTCAGTGATAATTGAATAAATATATACACATGCGACTCTTTATCAAGCGTGCTCTTTTCACGAGCTCATTACATATATTTAATATTCAATTACTCCAGCTGAATTAAGAATCCTTCGCAAATGTTTAAGGAACATGGCGTTGCCCCCCTCATAGCTTCTTTTTTAAGTTTTTTTTGGTACTTTGTGTAGTCTCTATTCTTTAATGCGGAATTATAATGCCGCATTTTACGAGCAGTCAGTAACAACAGAATGATATCGTTCATCTCCGTCCGAAGCTGACGCCTTACGTCGAAATATCTCGCAATATCTCATCGTATATTTCGCTCAACTATCATTGGTTATTACTGTTAATACTGTTATGTTTCATTATTATTACTATGGCCGTAACCTTAAGATGACAAAAAAGTCCACAGTTGATAATGATATTGATGTAATTTGTCATTAATGATAATAACTGTTTTAAACGGAGAAAACCTTTTTTGGAATAGTGGAACAAATTAATAAATGCATAACTTTATTCGCAATACACAAATTGGCACATTCATGAAACACAATATCAACGAGAGTGCGCAACATTTCACCGAACAAATATAATACTCAAATTAATATTGAAATGCAAACATTAACGATATTACAATAAATCCAACGAGAAACATCCAACACCCAAAGATTTGTCAAAAGACGAATGAATTTTACAAATACACTCGAATATGGCAAGATGAATAATCTTGATGCAGTGTTAAAATGCAATACACAAACGTTTCAAAATGTGAAAGCATACACATCAACAATAATTTCGTTAATCATAACTCAATAATAAACAAAAAATTATGAACTTAAATAAGATGGAAGCCAATAAGTAATGAGGCTCAAATTGGTTGAGTTAACGATTAATTAGCAGAGATGTTAGAAGGGATACGGAAAAGATTATCTCTTCGAGAGCAGTATACAGAAGAACGCTAATAAATCACAAAGTTCAGTGAGAATTTGATCATTAACACAATTGTTCTCAGCGATAGATGTGTGCTGATTTCAAAGTAAACTTAATGGGATCTTCATTCGAATTTATGTCTTAAAAAGCTGGTGTATATCTGCTTCATCAATCACACAAACGTAACACTGAAATGAAACACATTTCATTCTTTGAGAACAACTTCAAAACGCTCAAGTGCTATTTTGGATCACATAAAATGAACGAAAACAAGCGAACGATAATAAGTAGAAAACACAAAACCTTAGTCATTTCACAGTACTGTACTCACATGCACACACA